AACTTGACGGGAAAATGTGCGGTCCTCCACGCAAACTCTAACCCATGTGTACGCACTAAGCACAACAACGGGAGAGACGAGAAACTGCGACACCGTTGGCAGAAGGAAGAATGGAGAGAAATATGTGGAAATAAATAAAATGTTACCTCTCATTTATCATATGAAGAATTCATTTTCAAACATTGATTAAAGCCAATCTTAAAATGATTAAACAAACGCCTGTTTGAGACTCCTCAGTGCACACAAAAACTTGGATAAATAAATAAATACGGATGTTATTTAAAACCACCTCGAATATGTTGTGTTAATGTTATGAAATGTTTTCTCATAGATGATGCGGTAAGCAGGAGGACAGAATTACGTCTAAACTGACACCGTTTTGCATTTCTATAGGTTGTAGATACGAGCATGGTTTTATATACTATTGTAGTGATCACTGATTCATACACTGGGGTTACATAATTCAATCCGGGAACTACAGGTTGGGGGTATTGTTTCCGCCCGGACATATATGTTGACGGTACCTCCGGGGTACCTACAGTGTGTGTGTGTCCCTTTCACTTTCTCTTCTCCTTTTTCCTGCAACCCGACAGCACGTCGATTTCTGCTCCCCAATAAAGAGAGATTTGCACCTCCGATGCATCGCCTCCGTCTCCCTTCTCTCGGCACTACATTGGTGACCCTGACATAAGTCTCGCGAAGGATCCGGGACTGACTCGAACACGGCAAAAAGACTCTTGTTTTTTCTCGAAATGCCGGAGATTTTTGGAGGCCTCCGTTGCTGCCACGTGCGCACGGACTGAGGCTCGGTGCGCCCCACGGAATGGCTGGGAACGTCGCTCACCATTCCCGCTTCGTCTCGGCGCTGGAGGGCAGCAAGCCTTCCTGCTACGAGGAGACGATGCACGACCTGCTAGGTATGGAGGGACCCGACTTCTGCCTCGTGGAGCTGGTTCTTCGGGACATGCGGCTGCGTGTCCGGGCTGCGCTAGCTCGCTCGGCTAGTGTTGAGCACCGCGCTTTGGCCGAAGATGCTGGCCGGTTCCTCCTGGCCGCCCGGCGATTTACCCCCGAGGTGCTTGCCACTGCACGCTGCAGCACCTTCCCTGGTGGGGGCACGCCGCCTAGCAGAGGCTCCGGGGCCGACGACGACAGCGACTACCGGCCGTCGAGAGCGGCTAGCCTCGACTGCTGACGACAGCTGGCCACGACAGCTAACGGCTAGCTGCTACCAACGGCTAGCGACGACTACTAGCAACGGCTGACGATGACTAGCAGCTGCCAGCGGCTATTGACATCCGACTGTTTTTTTTATTTTTGTTTTTGTTTTTTGTGGTGCCGGAGAGGAGGTTCGATCACGTCTGGTCGGCCTCGTGTGGATCCTCACAATTTCGCCCACCTGTTTTTGATCGTGGACAGGACGACCTTTTGAGTTTTTTTCTGGTGCCTGAGAGGAGGTTCGACCATGTCTGGTCGGCCTCGTGTGGACCCTCTCGCTGTTTCACCACCTCGACGACGGTTTCGGACGTCACACACGCCTTCTTCGGCCCGTGGGTGCCGCGCTTCTGGACCCCGTCTCGCCTCTTCCCTCGCCTCGGCGGTTCCGGACGTCGCCCATGCCTTCATCGGCCCGTGGGTGGCGCGCTTCGGGACCCTGCCTGGCCTCACCTCTAACCGCGGCTCACGGTTCGCCTCGACGGCGCCCCGTCTGGCCTCTCCCCTGTCCACGGCTCCTTCCTCCCGGGGACACGGCTCCTTCCTCCCGAGGACTTCGTGCCCGCCGCCGCTGTGCCTTCGCCTGCGGCCGGGCAGCGCTCCTCCCTGCTGGGGACCTCCGGGTGTTTCACGCCTGTCCCCACGACGCGACCCTCTCCTGCGGCCCCCTGACGACGGCCCGTTCCATGGCCCGCCCTCCTCGGCCCCTGTGGTGCTTCCTCCCGGACGCGAGGATTGTGTCCATGGTTGAATTCTGGGGGGGCTTGTGTAGTGATCACTGATTCATACATACACTGGGGTTACATAATTCAATCCGGGAACTACAGGTTGGGGGTATTGTTTCCGCCCGGACATATATGTTGACGGTACCTCCGGGGTACCTACAGTGTGTGTGTCCCTTTCACTTTCTCCTCTTTCCTGCAACCCGACAGCACGTCGATTTCTGCTCCCCAATAAAGAGAGATTTGCACCTCCGATGCACCGCCTCCGTCTCCCTTCTCTCGGCACTACACTATCACGTTTAATCGTGTTTTATGCCGTTTGCCAAGACTTGATAAGTCGCTCGTAAAACACAGGAGGTATGGAAACTAAGAACACCATATGTGGTAAATTGTACAGCTAATATAACACAACACATTAGTTGTATTTCCTTTAACTGGTGGATTATGGATATATAGTTGCTGATCGACAGCTGGAACACAAACCACCAAATACAACAAAATAATTCAGATCCAGTCGTCATGACTCCACTCCGGAGGGATTCCCCGATCATTTCTTACAGTTTCTCATCAAGGGGGGGTCTCCTGTCCCCGGGACAGACACACTGCCTGAGGAAGGTTATGTGTATTTATTTTGTCATTAACTTTTTTCGGACCACTTATTTATTTATTTTGGTGACGATCCGACCTCCATGCTGCTACTCAGGTTCAAACTGCATCCACCAAACATGATTTATCACGACCTCCCCACAATAACCAAAATCTGACACGGTGTGAGATGTCTTTTTTAGCTGTTCTGTCGTCATTTCCTGCGATCTTCTTCATGCAGTCAGTCAAAATGAATGAATGAATGAGCGTTTCTTTGACTATTTATAGGCAAATATGGGCGTTACGTGAAGCCTGCAAAAGCTGCGCCGCATTTCGAGTCGATTGTATTGTGTGGGCCAGGTGTGATCCATGTGGAGGGATTGGGCACATAAGTGGGGGGGGGGACACATCTAGAGTGTGTGTGTGTGTGTGTGTGTGTGATCTGATCCGGATGGTTACTAATTCCTTTTCTTTATGGCGGTCATTTTTGACCGGGAACACCATGGGTGTTACAAAGTTGACTAAATCATCCAAAAGGCAATGAAAGTGGTGATCAGCAATTTGATATGTTCAGATGTCTACTGTGAAGGATATCATAAAGCCTTAATGCAATCGAATGTAAAACAAAAAAGTTATGATTGATGAAAGTAGTAAATCGTTCAGATTTGACCCGAAGACAACAGGAGGGTTATAAGATGTATTATGTGAAGGGAAAAATGCATCTCTTTATTTTATTATTCATCATTGTCACACAATGATAGCTTTGAGCATTCAAGCTCCCTCTCACGGTGACTGGATAAAAACATTTATTTTTCTAAGGATTTCAAATGGGTCTTAGAGTCTTTGTGAGAAATAAAACATTTCAATGGAGTCAAAGTAAATCCACAACCTGACAAAGTCGCACCATTTGCTGACAGCAAGCCAAGAAAAACAAGTAGACCGTCCAAAAACAGAGAAAGCTATGAGAGCCTCCAAAGAACAACAAGCTGCATCCTGGTGAGGAAAAATTAACATGGGTCCTTCAATGGCTAGTTGAGGCTAAAAAAACAAGGGCAATGCTACGATTCTCAACTGTAAATAAATAAAAATATGTTTAAGAGTTTTGGTCTAAATATAATTTCCCTTTACATGACAACTGTACAGGGGGTGCACAACTCATCCTTTTGATTGACAGGAGGTTTGCTTCTTGCTGCTCTGCTGCATCACCCCGCAGCCTCAACTCCACATGAAGATCCACCTCTTTACCCATTTATGGATTAGAGCCATGCAGAGTCTTCACAGAGGCTTATACAGTCAATGGGTACAACTGCTCTGCTCAAGGATAAACTGCTCCACAAAAGATAGCTATGATAGGGAAGGAATGGTAACACAAATATGTCTAGTAAATAATTGATGTTATGAATGACCTACCATGGTTGGTTAATGGGTTCAGAGCAAGTTAGCTTGCTGGCTACATTAGCTAATCAACGCGCTAGTTAACCACTGTGGGAAAAACTCCACTTTTAAGAATGACTCGAGCCTCAAACAAACCATTAGCTCCAAAAAACATTGTCATTGTTACGCGCTCCCGTTCTTTCTTTCCTCCTGCACCTGATCTGCTCCTGGCTCCGCCTCTGCTCAGGTGTTCCAGAAGGCTGGAGGAGAAGGAGCTCTCTGACACGCTGTCCCTCTGCTGCCTGACACTGCAGCAGTCAGTTATCCTCAGTAAGGATGTAGCTCTTTAATCAGGGTTCATACACTTTTTCACCAATGATTTTCAATGACTTTTCCATGACTTCTCCATGACCTTTAGCTAATTTTCCATGACCAAAAAAAGTACTCTTTCTCAGCAGTACCACTGAAAATTGTTTATTTTAACATGGAACAGGAAAATAAGGTCTGCATATGAAACATGTTGTGCCTATCTAAAACAAATCCAATAGGCTTACTAGCTTCTACACGCTAAAGCAACTCAAATCTCTCACCAGCAAAATACCTCGACAGTTAAATGCCATTTTACGTTTCATTACTATACGATACAGTATTTATTATCATTATAGTATTACTATTTTGGCGATTAGATAAAATATAAATTATATTTGATGCAACTTTAGTTACATTTCCATGACTTTTCCAAAACTTTGGGAAAAATATTGTTTTCCATAACTTTTCCAGGGCCTGGAATTTGCATTTTTTTCCAGGTTTTTAATGACCGTAAGAACCCTGTTTAATGTATCATGTCTTTTTGTATATTCTATTAGTATGGAGGACCTGGTAGTCCAGTATTATGCCAGGTTATTATGCTAGGGGGGCCGAAGTTCTGGGTCCTACGGCCACTGGTTGGCTAGCCCAGACTTCTGTAATCGTTTTGTTCTTTCCTGCCAGTACTCCAGGCTTCTATCATTTAATTTAGTTTGAATTAAAATTTAAAATATATCATATTTTTGTAAACTCTATCGGGTTTGGTGTTTGAAATATATGTTGCGGGTCACAAAGTGAGCCACAAATGTTGTTTTAATGCTTTAATACATATTTGGGGGCTCGTCCTTGTTCCTCCCATCATTATACCTTATCTTCCTTTCTATTGTAAAATATGAACACTTCACCTCTGTAGGGTATATATGTAGACTTTTGAGCTGAAATTGAATTCAAACCTCATCTCATGCAGTTTCACATATTGACAGACTACATTTGAAAAGAGACTCCAAAAATAAAAGCTCTGTCCTCCACGTCCTGATACCTGGCTTTACATTTCTCTTGTTTGTTGGACAGGAGCTATGGATATATGACCACAACCTGAAGCAGCAGGGTGGTCTTTAACAAGATACTGCTATACTTACAGGTCACTCAGAATCAACTCTTTTGGGCCCAGTCGCATTCTGTCGCGGTAATGTAGTCCAGAATAGAAAAGGAATGAAAGTGGGTTCCATATTACACTGAGGGTCTGGGACAATCAGAAGCAGAAAGTCTGTTCTCTTGTTTATTGCCTTGGCAACATATCCGCTGTGGTGCGCAGGTCTACTGCTTCCTCTTGCCTCTCGACTTGTTCTGCTCCGATTCCACCAGTCTCATGCTGCTGCTCTTGATCTCGTCGCGGGAGGGACAGCACTCATGTTCATTATCGCAGACTTCAGGAGAGTCTGTGGGACAAAGGAAGATTCTTAGTCAAATTCCTGATTCCAAGACAAGTTCATGTTCTACGCCTGCCCCGGATCAATCAATCAAATGTAATCAATCATCAATAAACCTTTTTTAATTAGCCCAATATCACAAATTACACGTGTCTTTACAGTGATTACAGCATACGACACCCTCTGTCCTTAGACCCTCGCATTGTACAAGGACAACGACCAAAGGAACCCCAGTTAATGGAGAAAGAGGATAGAAACCTGCTACTTACGTATCGGGGTGCTTGGTCTTTTGACGTTCCTCGACTCCATCCGGTTGAGCTGCTCAAGCAAACTGTGAACCTTTGGAAGGAGACAGAGAGGTTAACACATTCAGCGCATACATCACTTATCAAACCGACAAGCCGACAAGTGAGGGAAACATCAGGCATTGAAACATTACAAAAGAGAAAGGATGACAATAGATGGAAAGTATGAGAGGATTAAGGCACCCTCTCTTGGTCCAGGCCGCTGATCTCAGCTTTGTGCTGCGATGCTCTTTGCAGTAAGGTTGGCAGGCAGTTGCTGATGTCCTTCACTTTGTCTAAGCTCTCAGTACAGGATGCACTGGACAGTTCCTAAAGAGGAGTCACACATTTGTTAAACACGTCAGTTCGTTTCTCCTGTGCTTTCTCTGCAGTGACAGGTCACAATGTGTGATGTGACTTTTTTTTATAAACTACAAGCTAACAAATTTGACTTGAGAAAGTGATGAGAAACACATGGAGACATACAGTCCCATAATGTTGTTTTTAAGCAATTCTATTAAATGTTTGTCAGTCCTGTCAGACCATAAGGTCAACTTTTGTATGTCTTAATAATGTACCTGCAGAGCTAAGGACTTCCATCAGCCTGTTCACTTTGTCTTTGTGATTATCATTATTATTTGTCATTAGCATTAGGATACTGTAGGTCTAAATGACATATAATCATAAATCCTGCTCTGACTCACAGTGTGTACACCAACCACTGCTAATCTTTGGAGAGTTCATTCGATGGACACTTTACAGAAGTTCTTCACCGCTGAACCTTTTCAAATAAATTGTGACTGGAAGTGAGAATGCTCAATAAAGATCTTGGTGACATTTTTTTAATTTCTAAAGAACATGTTCTATTTCTGAAGAGAGAATAGCTTTTCATATCCATATTGGATCATTTCGGTATGTTGATTTTTTGTTGTTCCATTAAGATAAGTATGTATTCTCTGGATATATTATGTAGCACAGCTTTGGCTTGTATGTGCAGTCCCTCGTTAAGAAAGGAGAGGAGGAATGATTACAGGTGCCATGTGAACAATGAGTTTAGAGAGGACCTGGACGGGCTCGCAGCTCATTCTGAAGTAGAGGTTGTTGACCCCCCGCTCCACAGTGGCCAACAGGTCCTGGGACTGCTGCAGAGCGCCATGCAGGCGTCTGACACGGAACACTTCCTGATTCAGCTCGGCCTCCATTTCTCCCTTCAGCCCGTCAAACCTTGAACAAAAAAAAATCCATTATATAAGACAGCCACACGTCCCCCTGGGACAAAAACATGGCAGTAAAATCGCTGTGCAACATGTCTGAACACTGAACATTGAATACTGTCATTACTGTAATGTATACAGTATTTTTCTATTCTACTGTTCAGTATTTCATTTTATATTGCAGTATTTTATTTACTTATTTTATTTCTTTGTTTTGTGTCTTATGTATTCATTGTGTTGCATTGCTGTGCATATGACAATAAAGCCTTTGAATTTCTACAACGTTGTACTGACTGACTTAATTGCAAGTGAGCACAAATGTAAAGGTTCTATATAAAGTATCCAGAGAAACAGCAGATCACTGTTTTCAATGTAAACATGATCCAGTGTAGTAATGTCTAAATGGGCAGAATGAAGTCTCTCTCACTAAGGACTGACATTTGAATATGACCCTTAAATATGACACTAAAGACTAACATGTGAATATGGGACTTAAATAATACACTAATGCCTTTTGACCCCTGTGTACCTGGTAGCTGCAGGTTTGCTGCTGAACTTGAGCTCAGCGTGCTGCAGGTGCAGCTGGGTCAGAGCTGCGTCCTCCTGCCAGGTCAGCTCCTCACAGCGGGTCACCTCAGAGAGGAGGTGCTGCTGGGTGGCTTGCTGCGACACCACCTTGCTGACCAGTTCCTGTTAGGACAGGCAGACATGATACAGCCAGACAGCAGAGCACGGGCCACGATACAAATAATGTTGATGATACAGTAGGAATGACCTTGACTTCATTCACCATGCACCTGTTGTGGAAAACAGTCACATCTGCAGTGTGTCACAATACAAATGAGAAGTCTTAATAAATGAACAAAGAGGTACAAAACAAAAGCATCTAAAAGATTTAAAGAAGCAAGACTTACTTAAAGTGGACCTATCATGCTATATTTAAATGATATATCGTAGGGCCATACCTATATAAGGTACGTATATTTATACGTTTCTGTTTTCAAAATACCAAACAGATCATGCATGTTAGCCATGCCTCATTTCGCTCTATGTGCGGTTTGCTGTCTACGGGTCTGATCTCTGTGAGCTGCAGCTGACCACGCCCCCCTGCAGGAGAGGGGAGCCGTGCTCTGATCAAGTCAAGAGGGGGAGAAAAAAAGATCTCCGTCCTCCTGTTTTATTATATAGAGTCGTTATTCATTTGTTTTAAAGCTCAATAAATAACAAAGAAGACCTTTGACCGGCACTTTTCTAATTTTGTCCGGAAGATTTAAACTTTAACGGACATCTTGACCGGCGAAAGAAACTGCACTGTAAAAACTGTTGCTTTGGTAAAACTTAAAAAATATGTGTCAAGCGATTCCAAGCAATTTTAAGAGTTTAGTCAACTTTTGAGTTGGTGAAATGTACTTTTTTTAGTTTTCCTCTACTCAAGAATGTGTTACTTTGCTAAAACTTAAAAAATATGTGTCAAGCGATTCCAAGCTATTTTAAGAGTTGGGTAAACTCACTAATGTGATTTTTTCTGCATATGAAAAGAAGAGATGAGCCTACAATTAAAAGCCCAGATATTAAGTGTAACCAATGCAAATAACAATCTGCTAAGAACCACACGAGAATAAAGTAAATTATAAAACACAATTGAGTTGCCGGAACCTATATACGACAAACTCTTCCTGATTTCAATCCAACCCTTTAAATATTTGATAGCATTGAAACATTGCAGATTAAACAAATAAATTAAAAAAGGGAACATTATGGACATGTTAATACATTTTATTAAAATGTGATTATTTCAAAACAGTTGTCATAAAAGAGTAACAAGTTTGTTTAAAAGCACAACACATTAACATACATGGAGACACATGGTTATTACTTGATGGTTATAACTGCATCTGGCTCTTGGGCAACGTATCACTTCATGCTGTGCATCACGAGCCTGTTGCACTTCGACCTCTGCTGTTCCCTGTAAATACAAATAAAACACTAAATTGAGTACAAATCAGGACACACCATGTGTTTTCCTCAAAACAAAAATCAAATCCGTCTTGAAAACATAACGAGCCAGTTTACATTAGCTGTTAACAGACGGTAACAGAGGTGCTATTCACATGCATTACAAGGGGTTTAAGCCATCAAAAAAAGGCTGGTTTGCAAGAAAATGAACCACATAGTCATGATATTGATATAGTTCATAAAATGTCCAACTACTTCTTTTTAACCCCACCTCATGCTCAGAGATGTATATAAAGTGGCACATGGGTCCTAGAATAAAAAGAACAGACGATTATTTCAACTTTTATCTTGATAAGTGAGAGCGCAGGCCAGTCTACATGAATGCAGGGCAAGGCACGTTTCTGTCCAAAGGTTCCATGATGGAGTCGATAATGTTTTAAAATATCACTTTGAGTGGTGACACTAGTGCTGCATAGTTTACATCTCCATCACATCTGTGATTAAAAAAATAGAAATGGGTAAGTTTACCTGATGCTCATTATATTAGTATGTAAACATAACACGTCTTGAATTAACCTCTGAAACAACAACTCTGACACACTCAAGGGCTTACCTAATGTGAACCTGAAGTCCATAGCAGGAGGCAAAATGTCTTCAAGAGGAGGTGTGTTTTCTGGTGAGGCAAATGAAAGAACAAAATAGTTACATGATGACAATGTAACAATCATTTCAGTAGAATTCATTAAAACATATTTAATTCAATTAATGGAATCAAACATTAAAACACAAGTATAATTTAAAACGGTATTGTATTTATATACATTTATAAGGATGGCATTGTTAGATACCAGTACAATTCCATGATTCTCTACACAGCAGATCCTAATTACTTCAATATACACTCCTTTATCTCGTTTGCATACTGTCTAATATCTACTTTATGTTGTAGTAAAACATCTCCTTAATAAAACTGTATTTATTGATATTTCTCGCTAAAGACTGCATTTTACTGTACTACATTGAACACATCTTGCTGACGTTATACATGCCTCCTCGCCCAATACACACTGAATGCACCTTAACTGAAATCACCTCCGTCACTTTCTACTGAGAGCTAACGTGAACTCTCCTGCAGATTCCAACATGGATAGCGTTGCATAAGCATGAAAAATATAGTTTGCACTTAATTTTGTATAATAAGAACTCGATGCTGTAACTGCAGACTATGAGTTTAAATTGGGTACACTAAGATTGTAGAAAGATAATTCATTGCTCACAGTAAAACAAACGGCGAAATACATATAGAGGAATTAATATCAAATAGGCGCATTAGTAACTTACTCTTACATAACCGCTGGGTTATAAAGTAGTAGGGAATAGTTTTAACGGAGGTATTTTACCGCACAACATGCACGGCAGGAGAGCCTCTGAGCCCCGCGGCCGCATCACGGTGCCCGGGCCAACGCTTAGAGCGGCATACTGTAGGGGAACAGTTTGCGGAGTTGATTCTTAATACGTACTCTTAACTTAACCACTTTTAACAGAATTGCGTCGGTAAGCACTTGATGCAAACTTTGCCCAACAACTTTGCGTGAAGAAATAGACTACATGAGCACGACAGGGCTGAGTCTAACGTTAACAGCAGTAATGGCGCTGGCATGCATTAAAATGTCGATGTTTCGTTCAAAACAGTGAATACAAGAAAAGTAAATAACACTTTCTAGTTAAAAAGCAGTAATTAATAACTCAGGTGGCATGCTTACTTGTTTTACGATGGTTTGAGGAGGATCCAACGCAAACACGTGTCCAACTGCTGAAGAACCGCTGCAAAGAGGAACAGGAAGTCTCACACCGTGGTATTCTCCTTTGAGGGCGTGGCATGACCGTGGCGTTGAAAAAAGCATTTTTATTACGTTTTCCAAAACGTCTTTTTAAAGAAAGTTCAGAAAATGTGATATTAATTTACAAATTAATGAGTTCTTAAAACATGTTCTCATTGTTGCTTACGTGTTACTTATTTAAACGCACATTGAAAAAAAACTAATTTAGGGCAAGTAAATTACATACAAAAATTGAGTTTTGTTGACTTCACCATCGGAACTGTTTTTACAGTGTGAAACTGAAACTCTGCCGCACGGTCCCCTCGTTCCTTGGAAGAGGCGGAGAGGTGGGTGTTTGTCATCTGCTGGTGGACTAACCGGAGAGAATGACAGTGCTTGCCTCGACGGGGAGGGATTGCATTGAATTAAAGCAGCGGGAGCAAACGCTTGTCTCGGGGAGGGAGAAAAAAAGCCACAGCGGAGAATAAACAGAAGGGTAACCATGGTAACTATGGGCCGGAAGTCTTCTTCGCTGCTTTTGTGGCAGACTACAGCGCCACTTACAGGCCTGGCATATGTACTACAGCGTCTCCAGCGCTTTCGAGCGGCAATGGCCGGCCGTGGCCCAACCCCACATTCCCCTGATAGGTGGAGAGTTGGCCCAATAGCCCTAGCGCCACTTCTGTGACGTCATAGAAGTGTTCAAATCTGGATCAGTCTGTATCAGATCCGTTGCAGCCCCTTTTTTAGAGATTTGGGTATGGAGGAAAATAGAGAGGGTTGTGTTTTCTGACACTTGGTGAGTTCCCTGGAACACCGGGGACACATATTCATGTATAAAAGACGTACAAAAGTGCATTTTGCATGATAGGTCCCCTTTAAGTTGATATGATATATCAACACACTTTTCTTCTTTCTTTTAATTTCTTATCAGGGGCAATATAATGAGTTTTAAATAGATATAAAGAAAACATGTTTATGTTGATATTGTAAGTCATAGAGTTGATTTATTCAGTACGTAGCCCTATAATAAGCAGGATAATGTGCATAACAACATTATCCTTTCAAAATGGAAACTGGAAACAGTTAGCCTGCTCTGTCCTAAAGTAGAGGATTCAGTGATTGTGATTGGACTTGTACCTGCACGTCAGCGCAGCCCAGAGCCTCCCTCAGAGCCTCCATGTCCTCCTTCAGCTTCATGTCACTCCGAGAGGCCCCACAGACGTCGTAACACTGCTGGTCTGCAGGGCGGAGCACAGAGCAACAAGAAAAACACCTTACTTATTACTTTTTGAACTGAATAGGCATTTCTATGTTAATTTGAAGTGATAGAAAAGTTGAGCACGCACCAGATATGTTTTCTTATTTGTAATTCTGTGTATTTTTTTTTTACAAAAGACTAACTTGGTACAAAGAGTTATGGTTGCTACTGTTACTCAGAACGGAGTCTTACTTATTTATCTAGACAAAATCCCCTCCCACAAGTAACCATAGCAAATTGAATCATGTTCAATGTGTAAGATATGAATATGTTCAGCATAGCAGAACATCTTTTGAATATACAGTAGATTTGTGACACATCTTTGAGTTGTTT